GGGAAGAAACTCTCTGACAGCTAAAATTACTGCCTCCAAGTCCAGAAACTCTATTCCTTTAGCTAGAACTAAACATGGAGTATTATTGCTTTAATCTGAGGCACCACTTAAATTAGGTTAGTCATCTGATTTTCTCCTCTAAAGAAGATAGAAATTATTAAAAGGAGATGGAGTTTCTGCACAAGGCAGGCATGCTGGGTTTAGAGAGAAGTGATCACAGCCTGCCATCCTACGAGGAAACAGAAAACGTAAAAAGTACACACAAAACCAACATACCGTGTTTCCCCGAAAATAAGACAGGGTCTTATATTTATTTTTCCTCAAGAAGACACCCTAGGGATTATTTTCAGGGGATGTGTTATTTTCCCCTCAAAGCCTCAGCTTGCAGCACTCACAGGATGGCCGGGACCTGACAGAGGGAGCCCACCTTGTTGGTGGGGCTGCCCGCACCTTTCCGGTTGCCTCTGGGATAGTGGCTGTCACGATGGGGCAGATGAGAAGGGCTGCTCGTCTTCTTTACCGCTCCATGACGAAATGCATGGGTTGTGCAGATGCGCTGCGTAGCCACGCCCAGCACTAGGGCTTATTTTCAGGGTAGGGCTTCTATTGTGCAAATGCTTAGAAATCCTGCCAGGGCTTATTTTATGGGTAGGTCTTATTTTCGGGGAAACATGGTAATATTGGGTCAGTGAATGAGCAAGCTTTCATATACATCTTAAGAGGCCTTAGAAGGGTGGCCATATATTGTAACACATTGCAACAGAGATGTGTCCATTGATGAACATGGGCCATCAAGTAAAAGTGAAATTGTTCCCTTTATTTAAGAAAGAGAAAAATTCAATTTGTTTCAAAAAAGGACTTTATTCAAAATTGAGTACAAAGATCAGTCTGTAAAAGAGGCAAGTTTCCATTATTTAGGAATCACACACTCATTCATTCATCTCTTTCTGAGCACTTCTAGAAGGAAATTATGCTTTTGGGTAAAATTTGTTTTGCTCTTATTGGTCACCTACTCTGTTTGCCAAACCTGATTCCATATGCCTATGGGTTATTTTCCATAACTAAATTCACCCTTGAAAGATAAAGAATGCCTCATGTTCTTTGATTACTCTTAGTCCTCCACGTAAGAGATAAAATACAGACCTTTGAAATTTATTCAGCATGGTTTCGTTTCTGAAGTTTCATAGACAATAAAAAATATTATGGCAAAATACATAAACCTCAAATTTTATAGCTGTTATCTACCATTTAGTATCCATGTCTTCCATCTAAAAGATAGTGCTGCATTTCCTGTTTTCTAGTCTCTGCTTTCTGTGTGGTTGTTTGTTTTTCCCCCAAAATCACTAAAAGTGATGAATGAAGTTTCTTTTCACTAACACATGACTTGGTTTGGCTCATAGTTTCCCTCTGTTATCTAGATTGCTAATTAGAAGCTGCAACTGGTACAATGAGCCTATCACAGATATCATCCTAAAATTTTTACTCCCCTTTTTAGTTCTCTAATAGGGTAAAATCGTGATTAACAAACGGCCTTGCAGTCCCCCTTTATGTGAATGCAACCACATTAAAAATAAAAAATGTATCTTCATGAATCACTCAGGAGAGCTGTGTCTGCACAGCTTTCATAGACCCCACCAAGACTGAAGGTTAAACTCAAGGACAGGCCAAATTTAGAAACCTGGGGGCTATCTTCAGCCCAGCTCTGGTTTCCTCCCTCAAGACACTCTTCTCTCTTCACAGTGAGGTGTTGTCCTTTTTAATTCCCTCCTCCATCTTAAACAGAACACACTGGTCATCTTTATTTGTTTGAAATGTCATCTCCACCATCCATACCTTTGCACTTGAAGTCTTTGATGCCTAGTCGTGAAATGAACATCTTTCTGTCGACTCAGTTTAAGACATGTTAGGCATCGTGGAATGAGGACTGAGGCAGGAGAGAAAGAGGATGGAACTTGCACACGCAGTTACTCAGTAGACCTGAAACTGCAGCTGACAAAATCTGCCACGACAGCCCGAGTGGAGAGCCCAAGCAGGGTAGGCGTGAATATCACAGCTGGCTCATACCCTCTCCATACCGACTTCTCCCTCATTATTTTTTCTGATTTCTGGCAATGTACCCGATCTCCAGGGACACATTCTTTTTTCCTGCTGAAAGTGTGGAAAAATTTTTTGTTGTCAGAGTTTTGTTGAAATAAACTTGGCGTTTGGAAGAAGAAGCTATTTGCTGGGAAGCTTAGATGGGGTGCAACTCACAAAGCGCTGAAGGGAGCAAGTTGATGTGGTTTGGGTCTGTGAGCTGGTGTAGCAGAGAGGCCTGAGGAGGCATTGTCTTCTTGGGGGTCAGGCTGGTGGCCCCGCTGGGGCTTCTGGGAGTGTTGATAGCTCAGTTCCAGGCATTGTTTCTCAAAGTGGAGCTCACAGGCCACCTACGACAAATTCTGCTGGGTGCTGCTTCTAGAAGCATCCCAAGACTCCATCAGAACATACATGAACAGGCCTGGCGAGCCACATTTTAATGAATTCTCCATTAATCTTCTCCTAAAACTATTCAAGGTTCCAGCTCTCCAAATCATTTATGTGCACGTAGTCAGGAGTGCTTGCAATGATGTGACCGACTCACCGTAGTTATACACGTACGAGAAATTTAGGCATAAACCAGAAAGCCAGTTTGGACTGTTGCCCCGGGTAGCGTGAGGGTCCCCTGGCAGCAGAAAGGAGAACTGTTCATGGTTCACGAAGCTCAGTGTGGTCTTCTTTGACTCTCACTCAGCCTTTACCTGTAATTCTGCATGTTGGAATCCTCTTCTTTCACCCTCAGTCCATTTTCCCTTTCCAAAGGAAATTATGAACAATTAAGATGTAGCTGTTTAACAAGGCTCAGCTGTCTACTTGTTCCAGAAAGATTTCAATAATCCCTGCCCACCAACCCCAGAAACCTGCTGTGGGACGCAGTTGTGCCTTGTACAAACCTAGGTGGTTGCCCTTCATGTACCATTGCTGTTTACTTGTTTATATGTGCGTCTCTCTCCTATTAAACATTGAATTCAATTGTCCTTATGAAATTGAGCTGCACCCAGTGCCTGACCTGGGGTTACTCTCCATAAATGATTGTCAAATGAGAGGACGAGCTAAAAGATCTCGTGAGGTCTGCTGGATGCATGTTCTTCTCAGTTTTGATCATCTCTGCCTTAAGGAATGACTGGCTGTGTTTTTCTGTAAAATTAAATATGTTTATGTTATACTTGGCTTTCTGTGATCCTTACAGAAATGTGTTTTGAGAGCAAAATAGGATAGGGAGAAAATTAAGATGCTTTGAGGATCTAAATACTTGTGAAGTACATTTTTTTAAGTGCCACGAAATGCTTTAAAGAGCTCCAAGTAAATTTAAGAGGGGATCTACTGGATTTTGGCTAAGTGCTGAAAAAAAGTTTCCTTAATTCCCTATCCAAATACTTCAACTTAAATTTACTGGTAGCTATTTTGGAGGAAGATGGGAACTCTGCAATCCTTGGTTTGTTATAAAGAAAATGTTTTTGTCTTCAAATGTTTAGAGGAAGGATTAAAGGCAATTTATGGCTAGGGTAGAAAGTAATAAAAGTGGTAACAATGGAGTGTCTTCTAAATTGTCATCATTTTCTGGAATTACTAACAACATCAACCCAGCAGGCATTTTATGTCCTAAAGGAATTACTTTCATTCGTCATGCCTTAGTATAAACTATAACATCAGTCTTGTAGCTGCAGTGGTGGGATTGTTTGCTCCATTTTATTGTTTAAAAAGAGAGGTTGATTCACTTATATAGATGAATTCTATCATTAGATATTTTGCCACAGGGCTCAAGAAATATATTTGTAATTTATTTCTTTCAGGAAATTAGATTGCAAGGCGTACGCAAAATGGATTATATTGAGATCAAGCCATAGTCTTCTTGGTTTCTCCAGAAATACTCCATTTTTAGTTCCTAAGGAAAAAAATCTATAATAATAATTAAAAAATTAACCTAATAAGTTATTTTCCTTCTTATAGCTCCCTTTTTTTGTTAATAAAATCCCAGTTTGCAGACTTCTTACTATTTGTTTAATTAAAATAATCACGACTGTGTATAACATTTTACAATTTATAAAGAACTTTTAAAATACAATTGTATTCAATCTTTGCAACTACTGTGCATAGTAATAATGGTAATAATTTAATACATAATTGAGCCCTTTCACTATTTGTGGGATTACTGAGCTTCAGGGGTATATAAGGACATTACCAATGTCAAATAGTAGAGCCAGAACTTAATACAGGACTTGTCTCCAAATAGCATCTTCTTTAACTATACCTCTGGAAAATTCAATATTATTTTCCTTGGCATGTATGCTTATAAAGAAATATAAGAAATGTTAAAACATTATTACTGCTCACTCTTTCTTTTCTGTTATCAATTAAATAATTGGTTCCCATGCTTGACAAGCTCATTTTTAAGAAACTGCTCAAGTATTCATTGCAAATGACTTTCACGCATGGGTGTGTATGGTGTAGAAAGTGAATCTGAATTTCAAATAAGCATGTGAATTTTTATATGATATTCTGTATTTAATTATTTTAATGCTTTTAATTTATGTCCTGGTACCAATCCTATTTATGTAATAGAGTCAATCTCAGTACCCTACCCTGAAAATAAGGGGTATTTCTTTACTTTCTTGTATATGAGCTTCCTTTTATTTAAGAGAAAATGTATACACGCTCTGCATAGAAATTCTAATGCATTTGTGTACTACCCCATTCAATCATCCTTTGATTCCAAGTTAAGAACCCTTAGACAGGTTAATCTATATAGCTCCAGCAGTCTAGGTTTTAAAATCAAATGTCAGATAACATTCCTGTGTGTCTGTTATTATTTTCTTCAGTAATTCAAATTCTTATTGAGTTGAGCCTTGCTCACTTACTATAAGGTGGATTGCAGTGATCTATGTGGGTTTTTGTTTAAATACATGTGTCTTTTCCTCTCTCAGAGTAAAAGAAGCCGAAGAGGTGTGTAGGCAGAAAAAGGGAAAATCACTTTATAAAATAAAACCAAGACATGACTCTGGAATTGTAAGTATTTGACTTTACTGGTTTTTAACTTGTGATCTTCTTTGACATTTAAACGCTGTTTCCATAATATATACAAACTCATATAATAATATTTAAATTGTGTTCCTCAAGTTTGGGTAAATAACAAGCTTCTGACTTGAAGAATCTCCTTTTCCTTATGCCTTCAATCAGACCCAGAATACTCAATATTCAGTTTTCAAAACTTAAGAAATAAGGGTAGGCCAGGCGCGGTGGCTCACGCCTGTAATCCTAGCACTCTGGGAGGCCGAGGCGGGAGGATTGCTCGAGGTCAGGAGTTCGAAACCAGCCTGAGCAAGACCCTGTCTCTACTATAAATAGAAAGAAATTAATTGGCCAACTAATATATATATAGAGAGAGAGAGAGAGAGAAAAATTAGCCGGGCATGGTGGTGCATGCCTGTAGTCCCAGCTACTTGGGAGGCTGAGCAGGAGAATTGCTTGAGCCCAGGAGTTTGAGGTGCTTGTGGAGCTAGGCTGATGCCACGGCACTCACTCTAGCCTGGCAACAAAGTGAGACTCTGTCTCAAAAAAAAAAAAAAAAAAAAAAAGAATGAAGGTAAATCTGCCAAGGGTGTCCATGTATGTGGACACGTTCATGTTGGCAGGTGGTGGGCAGAAGGCCATTGTTCACTTTCTTTCTTACGCACGAATCACGGCACAGGCTGCATTTGAACCCAGAGTGACTGTGATGATTGGATTAGTTTCATTGGGATCTAAAGCATGATGGGAAATGCCAAGAGCAGCGCTAGGCTTTGCACGGGGCGTGCAGACCTGGTCCATTTCCACAGATGGCTCTACGGAGCTGGCTGCTTGTCAGCAGTCGGACCATAGTCTGAGTTTAACAAGCTCATCTAAGTTCCCTGCTTGTCCATTCCTTCCTTTGAAATAAAATGCCAAGCTGTACACCCTGGGAGGGAAGGACTTGGTTAAAATGACAAGTTTTCCCTTTTGATGCCGAAGATAAGTTTTGTTGACAGTTTTGAGGGTTTGTCACATGGTGCCACAGTGTAATAAATGGTGCTGCTTTAAATGAAAAGCCAAGTTAGGCATTCAAATAGGAGCATTTTAAATTGGATTAGTCTAACATAGTCTAAATGGAAAAGACATTCAAATAACCCAAGTTGGGATATGATTAAATAGCCCCATTTAGAAAATATTAAGAATTATGTCTTCATTTAAAAGCTATTTTCCCTTTGGTTTCTCTGTATCAAGATGAATCTTATCTAGTGGCAAGTATTATATCATGGTTCAGCGCGTTTTCTGCTCTTTTCTGATAAAAGTTCAACTCTAAAACTGTATTGAATGAGGAGGAATAATCATTTATTAGTGAACCTCATTACCATGCTGTTATGAACAGGAACATTAATCATGAAATGAAGCAGCCAATTCAGTTTTCACATTTATGTATTTGTAGGATTGAGGATGAGAAAGGGTGAGTCGGTACTCTTTCATGTAATTTAAAATTGTTTTTATTCTCAAAAATACTTGGTGATTTGCCTTGATGAAAACTCTAAAAGATAAAACAGATCCCACTTACATTTTTTTTTTCCTTTCTTGGTTGGTGGATCTTTAACCTTTTGTCAGAAAATTTGATCCAAATCAAAAGATCTTCTTTGGGGTACTCTAAAGTTCTTCTCTCCAACTATAACTCTTATCTGGTGTATTTCTTTTCAGAAAGCAAAGATAAGCATGAAAACCTGAACAGTGAAAAGCAGAGTGAAAATGAGTAATTGCAACGACTTTTACACAATTCAGCTGACCTGAGGGTGGGAAGAAAACTACAGCAATTCTGATCATTTTTCTTCTTGACCTCTTGCATAATCTTTGTGTTTTCTAGACAGTTCACTAATTGTTGAATTTTACTGTATATTCGTATAAAAATACAAAAGCACTAGACCAGTGGAAAATCTGACACCTTTTCTTTTTGTAAAAGTTTATGGTATTATGGCGATAGACCAAAACAGCATGTATAAGAGGCAGTATCTGCACTAATTCTGAACATGCTAAACATTAACCTAAAATTTACTTTTGTGAGAATATTCCTTGTCACGACAAAGACACTTTCCTTTCTACTGACAACCAGTACTCCATATCACTGCATTTAGATATATGGGTAAAATGTTACTTCTAGTGAATTGTTTCAATTTCACATCTACATATAGATTTTCTATTTTAAAATTTAAGTACCATTTATATATCGTAATCAGTGCTTTCCCAACTCTTGGGTTGCTCTCCATAACTATATATTTGTGAAGGAAGATTATCATTTTCACAAGTCAGGTAATGAATAGAAAAAAAATACAGCAAAAGAAAAACTCTTTCCTATAAATTATTTAATATAGACAGAAATCAGAGTTTTAAGTGCAAGGAAACAGTAGTGGTTTTTCCCTGGTGTTGTTTTATAGTCTTCCCACCCCCTTCAGTGCTTCCAATGTGTATATTACCATTCTTCAATGAAATAATAGGGCATTTAACAAAGATCGCTATGTGCAATACTGTTTCTAGTGTTTCTATTTCAATTTTTTTAGGATGTTAATTTTTATGAAAATAAAATGAGTTAATAATAAAACAATAGTTAATAATAAAAAGAGTTCTGTGTCTGTTATGTGAATATTGCACAAGGATATTTGTAAAATACAGCCATGGTGTTTGACATGGGATCAGGGGTGAGAGAAGGAGAGAAAATGAATTAGTCTGCATATTCCCATGCACAAAAAAGCATTCATATGGTTGCAGGGATTCAAGAGCTTAAAGCCCATGAATGATACCTCAGTAAAAAAAATCCTGATAAAAATACTTTTTTTATGTCTTGAACTAGGATCTCTATCCTGAGCACCAGAAGAGTCTCTGGTCATTTCCAACTGGATGTCTCACCATACCTTAAAGTCCATCATGTGTAAATTCAAACCCCGCTTGTCATCTTGCCCCTCCATGCCTGCTCATTCTTCTCTGTTATCTATCTCAGTAAACAAAGCCACCACCCATTCAGAAACCTGAGCTCCTTGACATCTCACTCATCTCCCAATGGATGGGATGCATCCATTTTTGTCTGTCTCTTCCATTAAAGTCCTTGTTTAGAACCCTCATGAATTACTTTAATAACCTACTAATTGCTTTCATCTTCCAAGATTTGCACTGCAACAAATTTTTTTCTAAAATACACAGCTGCTTATCTGAATTTCCTACTTAAAACCTTTCAGTGACCATATACACCAAGGTATGCAGCTTCAAGATACTATCCAAAATCTCTGGTGTGGCTGACAGAGTCCTGAGTGGTCTGGTGCCTGTTTACATCTTGAATGTCATCTCTTGACTCAATCTGTCTTGAATTCCAGGCTTCCAGCCTGTCTGAAGTGCTTTGGGGGCTTATTTTCTCTCAACTATACACCTTTCCTCACGTTTTCCCTCAGCTCAATGCATTCTCAACCTTTTTATCTGGTTAACTAATAATTGCATCTGAGTTTAGAAGTCACTTGTGTCCAAGACATCTCTTCACACTGGTCTCTCTAGCTCCTCGTGTATAACAGACACCCAATATATAGTTATGGGTTAAGGCAAAATGGGAGTGTTGACTATGCCAAATACTTCAGGACACAAGCAAGTTGAGGACTGAAAAAAGTCCCTTTGCTGAAAAAGAGTTGTGGTAAAGACCAAGGGTAATGTTAAGGAAGGAAGTAGAAAAGGGAGGCTCCATTTAGATTAATTATAATTACTGAAGACATTTTAGTAGCTCCAAGCTAGGAAGACTTTTCTATCATTTGAGAAACATTATGCTTTGAGTTTAAAATTGGAATTTTCCGTTTGTTTCCAAATAGAAAAATAACATATATTTTCAAAAGTATAGATACATCAAAAAGTGGGCAAAGGATATGAACAGAAATTTTTCAAAAGAAGACAGAATAATGGCCAACGAACATATGAAAAAATGCTCAACATCTCTAATCATGAGGGAAATGCAAATCAAAACCACAATGAGATATCACTTCTCTCCAGTGAGAATGGCCTTTAATACCAAGTCTCAAAACAATAAATGTTGGCGTGGATGTGGAGAGATAGGAACACTCCTACACTGCTGGTGGGACTGCAAACTAGTTCAATCTCTGTGGAAAGCAATATGGAGATACCTTAAAGCAATACAAGTGGGTTTACCATTTGATCCAGCAATCCCATTACTGGGCACCTCCTCAAAAGAACAAAAGTCACTCTATGAAAAACACCTGCACTTGAATGTTTATAGCAGCACAATTCACAATTGCAAAGATGTGGAAACAACCAAAGTGCCCACCAATACATGAGTGGATTAATAAAATGTGGTATATGTATACCATGGAATACTATTCAGCCATAAGAAACAATGGTGATATAGCACCTCTTGTATTTTCCTGGATAGAACTGGAACCCATTCTATTAAGTGAAGTATCCCAAGAATGGAAAAATAAGCACCACATGTACTCACCAGCAAATTGGTATTAACTGATCAACACCTAAGTGGACATATAGGAGTAACATTTATCGGGTGTTGGGCAGGTGGGGGGAGGGGATGGGTATATACATAATGAGTGCGATGCACACCAACTGGGGGATGGACACACTTGAAACTCTGACTTGAGGGGGGAGAGAGGGCAAGGGCAATATATGTAACTTTAACATTTGTACCCCCATAATATGCTGAAATAAAAATCAGTAAAGAAAATTAAGCTAAAAAAAAAGAAGCTAGATACAGAAATAATAAAAATTGCATGATTTGTTTTATATACTATTAAAAAAAAGTATAGATACAGCCTGGGGCAGGGGGTGGGGAAGTGAATGAGAGTGCATATGCAACAGAGATCTCTCCACAAGGCAGGGAGAACTAATCATGCCCCATTTGTGGAGGGACACCAAGCCACACTCATACCAGAGATATGGGGTTTACCTACCAGTGGGAGTCAACTGGAAACAGCCATGGTGGATACCAGATGATGTGGCCAACATAAACCAGCGTGTGTCTGGTGGCAAGAGAAAGCCAACCAACCTGGGCCAGCCGACTTCTTGGCCCACGTCTCTATCTGCAGTATCTCCAATGTCACTGCCATGCAGGAGCCCAATGCCACCAGAAAAGGCTGGTTCTGGACTAGGAATGGGTGCATGTGATAGAAAATGCCTAGATAGGGAAGAGGAAAAAGAACGTGAGCACCCTCTCAAGACAGCTCTGCAAAACACACCTCCAAAGCACAGGAGGAAAACATCAAGAAGAAAGAAGAGTGTCCCTGTCTCTCCATTCTTCTTTCATCTTGATGTTTTCCTCCATGTACTCGCCATCAAATTGGTACTGACTGATTAACACTATGGTGCTCAAAGGGTGGTGGTGTCCACCAGGGATTTGGGGGTTGTGGGGTAGACCCACATCTGAGAGACATGGTGAACATTGTGGAGGGAAGGGGAATACCTCTAACCCTTGCTAGGGAGAGGCAAAGATATAAAATGCAACCAAAATGTAAAAAGAAAAAAAAGAAGAAGAAAGAAGAAATCAACTCAATAAATGGCAAAATGAATTCACATTCAAAAAATGCAAAGGGCAGCACAAAATTCAAATAATTTAATGATTCTGTTTAGGATCTGCAAAGAAACTTGAAATATATAATTGAGATAGAAAAAATTATAAGCTAAATGAATTCTAGGTGGACACAAAAGACAATTAGTAATTTGGAAGATACTACTAAAGGAATTTAATAAGTGCAGCAGAGAGAAAAATATTTTTAAATGTGTTAGAGAAGTTAAAAGAGATATAGGAAAGACTGAGAGACTCCAATAAAAGGCATCCCATAGGGAGAAACTGAAGGAAATTGTAGAGAAACCAGATAACAATAGCTTGAAGAAACAGTGTTGGGAATTTTCTAGAATTGAAAAAAGACATATCCTCTGCTTAAACATGTGTAACAAGTGCCAGGCCAGATGAATATCAATAAATTCGCACCTACAGAGGTCAAAGTTAATCTCTAGTTAGGTAAACACAAAATGTCAAAACGTCCTGAAAGAAAGGACACATCACCTACAATAAAATTACAATTATCCTAAAGCAGGTTTTTCTTCAGCAACAATATGTGTTAGAAAATAGTAGTGTCTTCAAATTGTGGAAGGAAAACTGTGAATCGAGACCACTATCCCACGTTGAAGTATCATTCATATGGAAGGGAAGAGAGAGATTTTCAGCCACATGAAAACTAGAGCAGTTTGCTACCCCAAAACCTTACTGAACAGTCTGCTAAGGGCACGTGTCAGCGAGGAAAATAGATGCCAAGTGAAGGATGGTGATATAAGAAATCACAGCAAAGAAGCTCATGAAATAAATCAACCCTAGATTGTAAACAATAGCAACTATAATTTTTGTGTTTACAGAGGGAACTAAAATTTTAGACAACACGGGTGAGAGAAATTCAGGGAATAATTCAAACATGCTAAGAGCCTTGCCCTGTTCTCATCATTCATTCAATTCAACAGATGTTTATAGAATGGTTCATGTGCTCCAGGAACTATTATAGGTTTTGAAATTGATGGCCAAACAGAAAATATCCTATACTTGTGGAATTTACATTCTAATGGGAGAGACGAACAGTGAACAGACAATGATGTAAAATAATGTCAGGTAATACGATATTTAAGTAGGGTCAAACCAGAATGCTATTGAGAGTGGAAGTGGGTGCTACCATGCCAGAAAAACCTCCATAAACTGATACAAATACCCAGACGAACTCTAGTTGCCCTACGTACACATACTAGGCGAGCTTTAAGTGTTAAGAAAAGATAACAGAAGATAGTGATCTAATGTTTAGGCTTTGTTACAAAAATATGAAAGTAAATATAAATTAAAATTTTAGGACTATTCATTAAAAGAATAAAAATAAAATAGAGGGAATTAAAAAAATAACCTTATCAATCCAAGACAGGAAGTTAAGGAAAAACAAAGTATGGTAAAAAGAGAAGTGATTATGGTTGGCAGACGGGAGAATCTGGGGGGAAAAAAGGAATTGTTACAAGCTCTGAAAATCATGTGCAATCATTCCTTGAGCGAGCTTGTCATTACCATTGCCACTTCCCAGCCAATTAGTGAACTCAGACTTTTGGAGGTCGCATTTTTTTTTTAATTTTTGGTTCCCATAAAACATATCTTAGTTATATAATCAAAAGCAATAGAAAGAGGTTTAATGTTTTACAATGGTGTGAGAAAGGGGGCATTTACCCCTTCTCCTCTCAGAAATCGTTCCAAAGCAACAAGGAACAAAAATGAGTCATCTTTGATTCATCTTTGATTAAAATTAGAGGTATCGAAAACCCAAACCACAAAATATATGGAAGATCTTCCAAATGTGTGAGTGTAGGGGGAAGCAGAGAAAGGTTACTTGGATTCTCATGGAGACACATCTCAGAAAAAAGCCAGCAAAGTCTCCTTCTCCAAGGTGAAGCCATACCGTTAGGTGACATCTCAAACTCCTGTGTTTGCAATAATGGGCCGTGGTGCACCAATAGGAACTTATGGGAAACTTCCTTGAATGTGGTTTATTATTTTTCAAGGCAAAAAAAGATTGCCTATAGGAGAAATCAAACAGATATTCATAGTTGCATGAAGATGTCTATCAATAAGACTAAGGTAAAGGAAGAGATGGTGAATTAGAGTGGTCATCACCCTGGTTCATAATGAAATATTTAATAGCTCCAAGCACAGCCCTACTCTCTG